CCCCACGCTGCTGAGGATCGACCGCGGCCGCTACGGGCAGGACTCCCCCAAGGTGGAGGTCAAGGGCCTGCTGGTGGCCCCCGTCCCCATCAACGGAGGTGAGGCTTCCTTCGCAGCCGTCGGTCGCTTGCAGTCGGGTGCCTCCGGTACTGGGTGGCTGGCCTTTGTCTGAGCTTTGCAGACTTTCCTAGAGAGCTCGGACAAAAGAGGAGGAAGAACTTGCCCAGAGGAAAATAATAAGAAAACAGTAATCCATGATCTGAGAGTGCTGGCTTCAGTAACGGCTCTGCAAAGCGTAATGTGTTTGCTAGCCTGGGTCCCAGTAGGCTAGTCATTCTGAGCGATGGAGGTGTTATTTCTAAACTAATTACAGAGAGTCGGTAACGATAGTTAACAGTATTTGGTTAGCGTTGCCGTGAATCTCAGAACAGCTGCATAACTATCTCGCTGTGATAGATACGCATCTGGATGGCTTTTGCAGCTGCATGAAGTCGTGATTGTTCAGTGTACGTTGCTTAAAAATGCTGCTTAAGCTGTCCATCAAGACTTGGAAGGACTGAAGCCATCAGGCTGTTACTCGCATGGCCAGTCCACAGTGCGCTTGTTTGCAGTGCTGGACGCTGTGTAGTGCTTCCAAACAAGTTTTCTTTTAATGAAGTGAAGCTGTTGTGCATCGATGGTTTTTTTGACAAACGTTGGGTTTTATAGAGAACACTAATTTAAACAAGTGAGAGTATTGTCTTGATTTTTGCCTGAAATGAAACCAAGTCGTAATGATGTGGTTTTAGTAGTATCTTATTTTGAAAACCCTTCTTGACATTATCTAAACTGCCATCTTTAAGAAATGGACCTCTTGATGGATCACAGTGGTCCCAACCTGTCTCCTGGACAGTAAACCTCTGAATAATGCATAGTGAAATAATGTAGTCAGTTAAAACTAAAATCTATGTGGTGAATATTAAGAGTTTTTTAAAATAATTGATAACACAGAACTACTGTATTATTAAAAGCTTTTGAGAATTTACCAAATCTTAAGATCAGGAGAATACTTTAATGCTTCTTCAGAAGAAAATGCATCCTTCTAGGCAGCCTGCTATAAGCTTCTAGTACATATGAAGCAGACTGTGCGTCAGCAGATGCTTGCAGTTCCATTGAAGCTCGGTTTCATTAGCTTTACAAAGTGTTAACTAGAATATATTAATATAGCATATTTTGGGTGGAAGGGTGAGGAAGTAGAAATTGTTGGGCAAGTCTACTGTAAAATGATTTTCATTTGTACTTCGCATCCGACCTCCACCATGCTCTTGTAGCCAGCTATCATCAAATATGCTCAGTCTTTCCTCCTGCTTCCCGGCGTTCCTCACTTGGACACACACACCCCAACCGCCATATGAGATCAGGAGGCTGTCCTGAGAGTGTTAGGCACATAAACACTGTTATTACAAGTAGTATTTTTAAGGTTTTAAAAACTGCTGCCTTTTAATATATGCAAGGTATCAAAACACTTGATTTGTTTAGTAGCTGCATTATTTGACAAGAAACACTTTTTATATTAATTACTTTTTAACCTGCTTCTGTAGCTTTTTCTGCTTTCTTCTGATATGGTCTTCACTGAAGTGTGATTAAAACATTGAGGGAGGCTGACAGCATTTTCACTGGAAGGTAATAATGAGAGAAGAGCTAAATAAAATTCTGAGCAGTCCATAAACAGCATTTTTATACCTTACTGCTAAGTATTGTATGATGAGTAACTTCAGTGAGAAAGCACGTTAGGAATCATGAAATTGCAGACCTCCATTTCTGGAGTTTTGACATGCTGCAGTCATTAAAACTTTGGCATCAGTTGTTGGGGAGATTCAGTTTTGTCCTTCTGTTTGTCAACAGAAGACTGCTAAAGCAAACACCGCAGCAGTTGTCTTACTTTAAAGTTCTTCTGAATTGTTCTATGTAGGTTGTTGTATAGTATACATTTTGTTTTAATTTTGCCGAGGCACACCTTGTGGCTTAAAAATATTTCATGTAGTAAGAAATATTGGAATATTTTATGCTTTTAGTTAAGATGTTCTTGAATGCTTAAGGGTCTTGTATTTATATTCTTCCACTTTTTTATATCTAGATTTGATAAAAGACAGTGCTGTCTTGCTGAAAGTAATTGCTCTAATGCCTTTTTATCAGCCTGTTAATATTGCTGTAGAACTTGTTTGCAAAATATTTTTTTCTAATAGCTCTTAACATGAGTAGCTAGCACCGGCCTCTGCTGTTAGAGCAGTAAATGCTCTACCCCAGTTCTCACTTATCCGAAGAAGAAAAGGACTCTACAACTGTTAGCAACTATGTTTGAAGATACCTTGACTCTGCAACTGCTTTGATGTCAAGCATTCACCCATTCACGGGCTATCCCTTGAAATTCCCATGAACGTGGGTGATCTGTTAGCACCTTGATGGTGTAGACTGGGGCATCCATGTTTCAGAGCTGAAATGTCCTTAATGTCACATTTTTGCATGCTGCGTTAAGATCCCTTATTCATTGCCTGCAGGGAAATAAATGAATTCACTATTTCAAGATTTAGGGCCAACGATCTGCTGCTGAACATACACCATTTGTAACAGCACAGCCTGTGATGTTAAATGTTGTGCTCTGCGGTGTTTTTTGTTAACTTGTGTTCTTGAATATGCCCGGTATTTTATATACTGCTTTGAAGTTGCCAGTCCCATGTGATTACCCATCCTTTAAATCTCAGTGCAGTATGGAATATTCGATCGCTTCTCCTGTTTCTTTAGGAGAATTTCTTTAATCAAATTCAATCTTGTCATGTTAATACATGTATTAAAACTCTTTGCCTGTTCTTTTTATAGACCCTTGTATGAAATTGATACGGCTTTCAAAAGCAATGTTCCCCTGGAAGTGATATGGCAGTAATTTGCGTGACCGCTTGTGACTTGTGAAAGTGTAGCTCCAGAGAGCTGTTGGTCACAGTCGTCCACTGGGTGTAAATACAGTGCCTGCGTACGCGTCTCTTTCCAAGTGCGTTAACTGCACGATAGCAGCAGAGTTTCTCTGCTGGTCTCTCTTCCATTCTTCCACTTCTAATTCCTTTTCTTGCTGCTTCTAACTTGTTAATCTTGTCATGACTTAAATAATCTGTTACTAGAAGGGCATTTTAAACAGCTTCCGGATATGAATGCTTGCAGATGACCAAAAAATGCTCCTCTGGTTCTGCATGGAAGGATAATAGTGACATGCATCTTGACAGCCTGATGCAGCTTTTCTGATAGTTTAGTTCAGGTTTATATTATCTCTTTGGTGAGGTTACCGAGCACTTCTCATTCAGTCTCGTACTCCGTTATTTGTGACTTTGTGGAACCAGCCGCTTCAGCCAAACTTTTCACAGGGGGTACTTGCGGCAGTGTCTGTACACGCACCATGTCAGTGTTCAGCCCTCTGCCACCCGTGACCTCTGCTTTTGAGCTTCTTTGGTATTAGGTGCCTGACACCAGTTGTGGTGCTGACCTTCAGGTGTCAGGCATATTCTCTTGCTGTGACAAACCAAGCTAGACGCCACTGAAAATTCACTCTGATGAGTCTTGGTAGAAACTGCAGCGCTTTGTGGCTTGGTTCCCTCAAAAATCTTCTCCGTGCTGAACAGGACTTTTCTGTAGCTGTTGAGTCTGGGTTATTGCATGTCATTCTGGGTTTGGGTACACAGTTGAGGACTGGAATCGTCCGTCCTGTGTGCTCGCCAGGTCCCCTCGCAGACGGTCGGACCTTGCGGGGAGGGGAGGGTTTGTGCACCTTGGCTGGCGGGGAAGCAGGCAGGGTGATGAGGACTGGGGATGGGACTGATAGGGAGTGAAACAGCAGCAGACTGAAAGCTAAACGTGAAAATATTAAGACTCGCTCAGGCAATAGGTCTGGAACAAGGGGTGAGGGGGGATGGAAAGGGACTGGAGTCTAAAGGGCTTGCGGGGAGGTGATGGTTGTATGAAAGCTGCGCTGGAGAAAGAACGCCTAGAAAGGGGATGGTAGCGTTGTGGCTGGGCAAGGAGACTGAGAATTTGAGGAAAAACGTGTGTTAGAAAAAGGTGGAAGTGGGGAAGAAACAATATTGGCACGTTAGGAATGGAGGTATATCTTGTGCGTGGTACTGTAACTATAGCATTTTGTAGCATCTGACACTTCATAAACATGTTGTGTGAACAAGTTTTAGCTGCAGAAGGCTTAAAACGACAGTTTCCTGGTAACTGCAGAGCTTTAGGTAACATTCAGACAGAATTTTGTGTTCCTTTCTGGCCCAGAATCCAAAATAATAAGCTTTAGGGAAATACAACAAGCAAACATATCAATAAATACAGAGTAGTGGAAGAAAAATCTTGTGCATGCATCCATCCTTTACCATTCGTCTCAGTATCCAGCTTAATTAGTAGTCATTAATTGATAACAAAAGTGGAGGTTATATATTGGAGTTTATAGCCATAATTGTAGTATACTTACTGAGCTAACAAGATTAAATCTGAACTATTACAGGACTCTTCTAAGCTTCAGTGATTTTCTTTTGTTTAACTTCTTCCCTGAAACAAGATTACCCCTTGTTCAAAGAGTTTCTTTTAGTGTTAAAGCCAGCTTTAGTCAAAGCAATTACCTGAAATAGCTCTTGAAAATAAAATATCGCTGTACGTAATTCATTGACACAACTTTTAAAAAGTGGAAATTATAACTGGCTTGAATAAGGACTATATTGATAATAACATAAGTAGTAATGTGTTGAAAGAAAAGATATATATTACACGTATTAAATCCTAATGGGATAGCAAATAACTAGTATCCTTCCTTGAAATAAGACAGAATCAATGCTGGTGTGTTGCTTCTGTGAATTTCCCAGCTGAATTCCTTTTCTGGAAATTTTGTCACAGGATTATAATTAGTGTGTTGCACAAGGCTGGCTGTTTTGCCAGCCGGGTGTGCTGCGTAGCACCTGCCTGGGCAGTGCCCGCTGGAGGAGGGAATGCTTTGGGGCACAGGCTGCGTGGGGCTGCATCTTCCCCTGTGCTGCTTTCTTTCCCAACGAATCTCTCCATGTGCTGCCCCTCAAAATACTGGTGGTGTCTCTCCACCTGATCATCCTGTATCACAGTGATTGAAGGTGGGACTTTAAAATTCTTTCTGTATGTGTAGCTGAGACAGACCAGCTCTGGCAACTGGTGCTAGCCTCAGAGAGTAGACTATTAGCTGAGATGCAATCAATATCAAGATAGCTGATTTTTTTTAAAAAAAAAAGAAAGAAAAAAAGAAAAAAAACATGGAATAAAATAGTTAGTGCTCAGGGTGTGGGATCATGGCACTGGCCCTTTTTTGTGCAAAGGGGACAAAGTCTGATAACAGTCAATGCAGCAACCTTGGCTGAAGCGGGACATCACAGCTATGTTCTAAGCAATGCAAGAGCAACATAAACACATGGTATATGAGAGAAAGCAAACCCAGTCGTGGTTCAGAAGCAGAGGGAGACAGTCTGCGTTCAGGCAGGTGTGTACTTACTTCTGGCAAAGCTTCTGACAGCTGACCTATTAATTTAATTTTTGCTACCCCAAAATGGCTATCCCTCTTACGGGGGGGAGGCTAAAGGACCTGGTCAAGCAATTGGAAAAGTTGAGTGGGAGAGTACTGTTGCTGTTCTAATGTAAGCTTGCCAATACTCCTTCAGTAGTTGGCTGGATCTATTACTTTATTAACTATTTCTTTCACATGAATCCCTAAAAAGCGGTCACAAACATTAGTCCTTCAGCAGAAAAAAAAACTGCATAAGGAGACACAGTTCTATGCAAGTTGAGCAGTCCTGTGTGCTCTGCAAGAGGAAACTGAAGCTCTCCTAAAGTTGAGAACAAACGTGCAGCCTAACTGTAGAAACTTAAATCGCAGCTGATCCTTCTGTAAAGAGGCTCTTCCCTCGTGTTGGGGCTTACAGTAGGAAGGGAGATATTTACAACAACATTGTACATAGCTCTTTAACCCAGCAGGCTGCTACTTCTAACAGAAAATTGGTTTTTTGCCAACACATTCATGGTACATATGTAGACATGGAGAAAGCAAAGGCAGAGTAAATAACTTGTATTTCAAATAAGCCAGAAGAGTAGCACACCTACAGAAAAACATACTTAGATGGCTTGCTCTATGCTTATATTTTCCGAAATTATGAAATGACATGAGTGACTTCTTATCATATCTTTTTATGTGTGAGTGATTTGTTTTAGAATAACTTTAATTTAATGTGAAGTTGCTTTTCATTCTGGCATGGACATCATCCAGGTAATACTTGCAAGCCCTAGTCTTTCAGATCCTGATTGGATTTTGGATGATGGAGCATAGATGGCATGATAATGGAGAGCTATCGATGATGATTCTTGCTGACACTGTTCATTTATCTGTGTCCCTTACAATGCCAACTGATGTGCCTGGCACGTTAGGTGTATAGCAGATATTTTATTTTAGCCAGCTCGCTATGCTAGCAGGGTGACGGTGATTATAAGACTTTCGCTCTTCTCGGAGTGTATGAAGTCTATTGAAAAGATGAGCAGAAAAACTCGGACTTTCCACTATTGTTCCTGAATTTTATTTAGTTAAAAGATTACTTAACATTTGTGTGGTGTAAATAGGATACTAATGTAAAGAAAAGTGACTTGCAGTTACTCAGTTCAGGTTTATCTAAAACAACCACATTTTCCTTAATGTTTTTATATTACTTAAATAATGCTAAAATAATATTGTCAGGGGTTAAATTTTCATCGGGACATACTGAATCCACCTCGTTAGGAATAACATGCTGTATGCATTTGAGTGGTGTTTGTTGGTTTATATCTGGAAAGCTTTTATCTCTTAATATCTTGTTTCCTAATCCTGTTGCTCTATCCAGTAACATTTCATAGCTCTGTCCACAGCTGAAAGAGACTTTGATCTCTACCGTGCTAGAAAATTTTGTACTACTTTTCCCACAGATGCGGTTTCTGTTATCTTTTACTGCTTTCTCTGTTGGTTTTTAAGCTAAAAATTTCAAGCCATACAAATTTAAAGGTGCCTACATAAATTTTTATAAAACTGAATTATACAGCAGACTTTTGAGAATGCTGCCTCCCTTTTCAAGTTTTCAAAGTGCCTTTTGCCTTTTGTTGCTTCTATGATTTTTCATTCTAATAACACATTACTCTATTTTTGTGGCCATTTTTGTTTTCACTTGGTATGTTAGCTTTGAGCATGATTGTACTGAAGCAAACTGTAAGTAATCCATAGGATTACTGCTCTTCATCCATGCCATATATTTTAAGTAAATTTATTTTGGCCATAGTATCTACTTTCAGAGTTAATTTTGGCGGTTTGAGGAGATTCTGTGGAATTGTGGCCATTTATTGAATGGTATTTTCTGACGGACACCTGAGATTCTGGAATGTGACCTCACTGGAGAAGGATGGGATTTTTAGCTTTTAAGGCTTGTGAAACGTCCTATCACGGTCTGCTGGTGCTTTCCCCCTCCTGCGTTTTTAAGTGGAAATGGTCTGAACAAGGGGGAAGTGTGCATTAAGGCGTAAACTGCTTTTATCTTAACAGAGGACACCAAGACTGGTTGCACATGAGCTGTGTTATGGTTCTATCACATTGTCAAAAAGGACTATGATTCCTTTAAAAACGTACTGTTCTCTTAAATTTAAGACTACAGAAACAAGCTACAAGAGTGCAGTTGATATGCAAGTGCACTGCTGTGATCATTGCTGTTCGTGATGGCTGTCAGCAGTGCTCCAAAGCAACGTGTGTGGATCAGAGCTAGCTAGCAATTTCCAAAGGGATTTGAGTAATAATGTCAGGGCAATGGAAGAAAATACTCTAAAATTCGGCTTCAGGCATCTGTGTTTCAGATTTTCCCTGATCCCTGTGTAAAACAAAAGCACAAATACAGAAATACCACAAATAGCCCTCATGTCTGAAATGTCTAATGCAGCCTTGAAGAACAATCGTGAGAAGGACGTGCTTGTCTCTGGCTCCCCGCCCTCCTTCCAGGGGAACAGGGAGAGGCACTTCTCCAAATTAAGAGATGCAGCGACTTCCTCTACGACTGCCACAATATAGATTCATCTGCACTCGTTTTCTTCAGGCAAACAGAAGTTTTTCTTTCTTGTTTCAGAAGAGATCCTTTGAATCTCCTTTGTTATAGGTTTTAACCTGAGCTATGTTAAGCTGAGAATGCTTAAAAGGTCTTTTGTTTTGTTTCCAGCTGATACATTAAACTGGGTATTTTTTGTGGTAGACCTTTTGCTGAAATCCCATAGTCTGTGCTGAAGAACTCGCTTCTTTAAAAGGAAAATTTTATGGGACACTTCATTTGAATTGCTCTTAGCTCTGAAAACATTACAGATCCTATTATGCAAATAAATTTTTGGTTTATATCTTGAAAAATCACTGTTTATCCCAACCATTTTTAGTAGCGAAAGATTCTTACGCTCTTGGCATTTAAAAGGGTAAATATATTTGTATTATAAGTTACTGTTGGCTCTAAATGTCTAAAATCCTTTAATGATATGACCAGCGTGTCAGACTAAACTGCTTGTTTCCAGTTGTGTAAATAGAAGTGTCTTTCATCAGCTTCAGCTGCTGTACCATGGAGTTATCCTCTGCGTTGTAGTTTGTGCCTTTTGTACATAGCTCTGTGTGGGTTTGGGTTGTTCCAGGATACGTTGCAGCATCAGAAAGGACAAAAGAAGAGCTTTGCATACTGTTCAGTTCAGACATCTGTCATTTGCCATTTCTGTTACTCTTCCTTTATACCATCAGTACCTGTTTAGCTGACAACTTGAGTGCATCGTGTTTGCAAATTTGAAGGCAATTCCTTGTAGACAAAATGCGCGTATGTAAAAAGCTGTTGGGTTTTACGAGATCAGCTTTTAATATCATGCCTTTTTACAGTAGCCTGCACACAGCAGATAACTCTGAAATCTTGTTTTCACAACCTCCTTTGTTTAGTTATACTTCCCACTGCAGTGATACTTATGACTGCATTAGAAAGGAAAAAAAGTTATACTCCCCAGAATGACTGATAAACAGCTGTTTCGTAAATGCCTATAGCATATGAACCATATTCTAATGTTTTTCAGCCTGTAGGCAGGTATTGATTCAAATGTAAATTCATTGTTCTAGCTGCACTAGAGTTAAAAATAGCTTGTGTTAGTGAGCCTAATTCTCGGGCATATAGACACGGCTTTCAGTGTGCGAGATGTTTTTTTAAAGACTTTTTTTGTAAGAATGCAGTTTGCTTTAGGCTTTATTAACAAGAGGATAGTGGCTTCCTAGTGCATAACAGTTAAGTAATTCAGCAAAACTTGGAGTTAGTTTTTTCTTTTTTCCTGTTTGAACAAATTGCCATCTGTGTAAATGCGTTTCCCATTTCAGTTGCAGATCGCCTGGGCTGTGACCCTCGAACGCGTTTCCAAGTTCCACCAAACACCAAGCAGTGGATTGCTTTACTGCAGCGAGGAAACTGTACATTTAGAGAGAAAATACTGCGAGCAGCTTCACATAATGCCACAGCTGTGGTCATTTACAACAATATATCCAGTGAAGAACCTGTCACAATGACTCATCAAGGTAAATAAAACAGAATCTCTTTCACTATAACTCTTTTTTGCCCGGGTCCTCTTTTGCCGTATAAACTATTGCTCAAGAGCTCTTGGCAGGGCACAGATGATGCTATTTGAAATAGCCTGTTCTCTGATGACGTTTACATGTATGCAATATAGTGAAATAAGTCAATAATTCTGAAAAGTTATTTTCCTTCAGCGTACATTTTATAAAATGAGGAACACTTTCCTCTGCAGTGGGGTGCGTGTTTTGGAGTGAGGAAATATCTGTAAGACCTTAGGAGCAATCTGTTTCAAACCTTTCTGAAGAAGAATAGCTAATGTGTCATGGAAGGTCTAGAATTTTACAAAGCATCTGTACCTGAAGAATTTTTATAGTAACGTGTCTTCAACTGGCTGTTATGGTGGGGACTTTCAAATGTTAACAGTTGTATCAGGTTCTGAGCTTGCATGCTTTTTTTAATGGCAATTTACAGAGGGTTTCTTTCTACGATGTGTCTTTAAGTGCCATGCAGGAATCAACAAGACTTAGTGATTCAGAGAGCAGGTGCCTCTCCAAGTTGTCTAGAATTAGACTATGCTGGTCTAGAATAATGCTAAAAATCTGGATTTCTACTTTTCTAGGGCTATCCATGTGTAAAATTTCGCTGTTACTAGTAAGTTACCTTAGCCAGTGGGAGCCTCACATGTAAACATTTTCCTTGGTTAAAAATGATTTTCACAATTCTGATAACTACATTTTTCGTTTTTCCCAAAGGTTTTCTCAATTTGGAATTATTTAGCTTAATCAGAAAAGGCATATTTCTATATTTGATGGCTGTACTGCTAGCTGATTTTTTTGTTCCTCCCCCCTCCCCTCCCCGAATATTTTCAGTCCTTTTTCTTTAAGCATAGGGGGTTGCTTGGAAACTGGAATTTCCTAATTATTGCTCTGCATATTGTCACACAATTAGAATTGAATTCTTTTACTAGAGTGCTATGGTTGCTTCTTTCTCTCCTTTTTCCAAGGGAAATGTCTTGTGGCTTCTTCTGGTTTAGTGGGCTTTGACCTTCCCAGTTCTGTACACCACAGGAATTTTCCAGGGAGATTTTGACCTCTGTAGCAATTCACAGCCTGTTGACAAGCCATTTTTGGGTACCTTCCTTAGACATTTTTGCAAGTAATCTGCAGGCAAAAAGTCCCATATTCTAGATAAACCTTTTTATCACCTTCCTTTTGTGTTTTTTTGCCACTTCTCTCTCTGCTGATATAGTACCCTCCTAAACCTTCAGCTCTGGTCTCTCTTTGGAATACCTGTAGGATTGTCCGGTCTGCAGTCTCTGTTTAGCATTGATTTGTGACTCCTCCTGTGGCCTGGAATACCTTACTGTGGCAGAAAAAAAGACTATCGATAACAATACAGCTCTAGCATTCTTTGCTCTGTTACATGTTAAATCATGTAATGGGTTTGATTATAACTTTAATACCTTCTTTCTCGTAATGGTGTTAGATTTGGCAGGTGCTTTCGTAGCAATGGGACGGTGTCTGTCTTTTATTAGGAAATCCTAGTTCACTCAGTGTTTCAGCTCTGAAGACCAGTGTGTTGCCTTTGAAACGGTATCAATAGGTGCAGTGGTTGTGGTAGGTTGAAATAATGTCTCAAGTTATAAAATGTGAGAGCTGCTGTGGGTCAAATGGTGTCTTGTAAGCTGGCGTAATTGCCTGGAACTGAAATACCACCTCAGCCCCACACCGTGATGAAGAGGAAAGTCGCTCCACAGCTTTTGTTTTGATCGCATTATGGTCAAGTGAGGGATGTCCCTCGCGGTCTGCGCTTTGCAGAGCTTCCGATGAGCAGCCTCCTGTTTGCTCGATGCAAGAGCCGAAGCGTGCATGGCGGATGTAGACGAGTCCTTTGGTGTTAGCCTGGGCAGAGGGAGGGTTGGGGGTCCAGCATTCTAGGTGGGGTATAGATTCAAGAACCTATGCTTACATGATGAGCCTATTCAAACAAAAGTTGCGCATAAAGCGGTCTTGCACACATTCAAGGCACTCTGTGGTCTTTTTTCTGCCTTTTCAACCATATCGCTGCTTGTGTGCTTTTTAGGTGGCGAACGACCACATCATCTGCTAATTAGATATTTCAGTGTGCTACATCTCCTCTCTTTAGTATTTTCTATCCCTAAAGGTCAGGAGGAATTGACCCTGTGTATTTGATAGCTGTTCTGCTGCTGATTCGTGTTAAATAGAGTTGATATAAAGTGAAAGTGAAGGTGAGCCACCAAGTTGGTCTTATCTCCATGTGATATCTAGGGCTGTGCAGTATTCCTCTATTCTTTTAAAAATGCATTCTTCACAAGACAATTTTGCAACTGTATTACGATGACCAGGTTCGTGACTGTTTTCTTTCCATAGACAGGTGAAACTAGACTTTGTGTCATTTTATATCACTGTAACATAATTTTTATACTGCTGCGTACCAAACCCTAGGAATATTCTGTCTCCCTGGTGAAGCAGAGAGGAAAGTGGCAGCTGCTGATAATGCACGTTCTGTGAACTGCACACTTTCCTACTTTGAAATTTGCATTAATTCCAATCACCAGCTTAGGCAACATCTGTGCTAAAAATAAGTAAAATGTTATATAGACTTATGTATGTTGCCTACCTGCAGAGAGGTGATTCCCTATGAAAAGAGCTCAGTAAGCAGTTCTCACCTATGGGATTAATATTTTATGCTTGAACACACATTTGAAAATTTTAATCTTATGGAAATTTGTTCATGCTCAACATATTATGTAGCAGAATATAAATTCCTTCTGATGGCTAGATAACAACTGTCACTCTTGAATCAGTCTATCACCACCATGTCAAATGGACAGTTTCTATTGCTAATACCAGAATTTGCTTTTTTTTGTGTGATAGTCCACTAAGTCTCTGCCCCTTTGACTTCAAGTTGAGTTTTAAAGTAGGTATTGACCTTAAGGACTTGGTGAACTTTTTTATAAAAAAAATATATTCCTGTTAATGTTATTTGCAACATTTTCTTCTCTGTGTACATCCTTGTATGTATTACTGCGTGCACGTAAAATAAACTTATTTTACACATTCTTGTAGATGTCCTTTATCAACCTGAGTGAAGGACATCTTTGCCAGCGTAGATATCACTGGCAGGAAGGCAGTTTTATGAGTGGTTTCGCTTGCTACTTCTGTTCAAGCAGAACAAATATTGTCTAATGTAAAAAAGAGCCTACGTGGTAGAGAAAATATGTAGTAGCCGTCTCCTTTATAATCAATTATGGGAATAGGAAGGAAGTGCAGGTAAAATAGCATTTTAATTTTTTTTTGTTTGTGTGTGGTGCAGACAGTCCTGTCAAGTTCAAAATAGTTAAATATTATATTGAACTTCTCTATTAAAATCTAGACTTTTATTTGGATTTATAGAAAAGAATATAAACCAAAGAAGCCTCTGAAGTTAAAATTTCATACTCAGGATTTATGGAACAAATATAAAGAGAAAAATATAGACAAATATAGAAGAGTGTCAAAATGAAGCTGCTGGATTCCAATAACTACTGTTCATCAGTGCTGAAGAAACTTCCTGAAGTATTTAAACAACTTCTAGTACAATACCTTTTTCAGAGGATTTACCTGATACAGGAAAATCTTTAAAAGTCTTTAGAACAAGCTGCAGATGTCTTATCAGGATCAATCTTCATTGCACTTCTAAAGAAACGATGCATTCGTTTTCTGCAAGAAGGTGCTGCTGTTTGGTGACGTGCACGAAGGTGACGTTCCTGCTGTAGTACTGCGGGAGAGCTGCCAGCTCTGGCTCCCAGAAAGGGTCTCCTTCCAAGGGGAGGATTCCTGGTGGCCCTCCGGTCACCTAGAAAGCACGCTGGCACGGGAGGCCGGGTCTGTGCTTGCTTTGAACTGTGGTAGAACTGCATGTGTCTTGTGTGGACTGTTTTAGGTCACTGGGTCAGAGACGGGCGGGACAGGAGGAGGTTTGGAGTTGTAGCCATCTAATGGCTATTCCATGTTCTTGCCCTAATTCGGAGTGGGTGGAGTGGACCGCGGAGGGCCGGCAGCGGAGGGGCCGCTCTCCTTGTTGCGGCACTCTCGCTGCGTGCAGCACATCTCTTCCTCTGCTGCTTGCCTTTTCCTCAGGAAGGTCTCTGTGTAACTGTAAGCTGGGCTGGTGCGTGAAGGCTATGGCGGGGTGCATTGCAGACTGTTCTGCACAAATGTGTGCTGACGAATATTTCGGCTCTATACCAAATCCACTGCAAAACTTTCCCTGGATTACTGAGACCTACTTTTAATCCACAGCTCAAAACTAACTTTATTGTATAATACAATATTGTTGTTGTTATAATTTATTATTAATTTACCCTGGGATATTAGTGAAAAGGAAGGTGAGATGAGTCATTAAAGTTGAAGCCTTAAAAAAGGCAAAACAATCAATAGTCTAACCATAGTTTACCTATCTTTTGATCATTTTATATTGTTTGTTTGTATGTGCTAACTGAAAATGAGGGGAACAAGTGTCAACAGCATTATAGTTAATTTCCCACTGCATTTCTTGGAGGTGTATCCATCAGAAAAGTCTGTCATACCATAGATGGAGGTGTCTGACACTTAACGAGGTGTGGAGAGGCATGTGTTTGAAGCACAGATTCTGGACCATAAGGAAGCACTTGTCTCTTCAGGATAAGCCAAGGAAACCCCTTTACAAAGCTAACATAGCCTCAGTGCCTTGCAGAACTTCTTACCAGTGTTTCTGCGTGGTATATGCCTCATCCACAACTAAAATAACAGCAGTTAAGCTCGTTTTTCCTTAGCCAGCTGAAAGGGTAATTAGTTCTGTGACTGTGAAAAGGCCCACGGGACTGTTAGTGACTGTAAGTAATTACATTCTTTTTCTTATGCAAAGTCTGAACTCCAGCAGCAGAGTAATTCCCAAAATCTATGGATTCAGAGGTATCAAATTTATGGTATTAATCTATGAATATGCTATTTATGAAGCT